TTTTTTGTTCGTTTTTTAAAGTGTTCCAAACCCCATCTTGTTTATCTGGCTCGACTCATCTATAACCTATTGTAACAAGGTTCTCCCAATTACACAGTCCCTAATCCCAGCCTTTGATCTCTTTGCGGTCCTCTAGAACGTGGAGTGGATGAAGCCGGACACTTTCTCTTCAGCCCTCAAATGCATCCGCAGCACGGGTCTGCGCCTGAGCAACGCAGAGAAGAACGTCGGTGTGCGCAAGTACGCCTTTACTCGCCTCCAACTGCTGTCCTTCCCTCGCCTCTACCGACCGCCCGTCGGAACATACTCTCTCTACGCTGCAACTTAAGAGGCGCGCGCGTGGGCCGTTATTCTTGCGATCACTCACTCAACCACTCCCTCCCTGCACACACTCTGCCGGTTAGTAACTATAATCGCATTTTAAGCCTCATGGCTTACTACTGCTACCTTTTCCAGGCTCTACTCTCAAACAGACGGCATGTTTCTATGGATGATTGTTTCACTAAACCACTAACTGCATTGGAGTGACGTCTATCTGTCTTGATGTGGTGTACAGAGTACAGGTGTTTCTTTTGGTCTTGGGTTCTCTGATTTAGGCACCGCGGGAGGTCACACAGGGGCTGTAAATAGTCATGAGTAAGTATAGACGTGTCGACACGAAATCGTACTACGAGAGTAGCGCGCATCAGTGCACTTTCAGCTCGAATATCTATTTCTGTAGCAGTAAACGTACATGCCTTCCCTTTCGGACTGTAAATAACCGGCTTTTACTCTCGCACACTTTTGAATTTTGCGCAAGGAATCGCCCGGCCGGATTCACTGTATACATATTTTTTTTTCGTTGCAGACGCAGTCCCATCGCGGCCCCCAAAGTGTCCGCTGTCCAAGAAATCGTATCTTCTCCCCTCCCCCGAAACCGCTCCCGACCTTATTTTTATTGATTTTTTTACGCAATGTTCCTTTAAGTTGTATTCACTAAATCTTATCTGACTGATTATTCCTATGTTGCCTCACTGTCCTTTAAAGTCGCATGGGAGCCGTCCGATCGCAAGGAGGCAGTACTGTAATTGTACCTTTGGTGATCCGACCCATATCTCCTGTAGGCTAGAAGTGCTACCGACAAGGACAAGATTGGTCACTTATAGCTCTTCAATAAGCCATCCTGTGGGACGGTCTAGCCACCGAACGCAAGGGGGCCTTTTGAATTTGTTTAGACTGGTTAACAATCTAGGCAAGCCACGAAAATAAGCATGAACAGCCTGGGTAAGACTGTCTCAGCATCTTGGTCTCTTTGAATGCTAACCCCGTCTTGTTATCCAGCCGTCTTCGGACACAGAAGCATGATACCCTCCCGCACGAGATACTGGGTTGATCCCGAGGAGTGTGCGTA